GTAAACCTAAATTCTGCCTTCTGTAGCTTCAAACACCTAACAGAAAATGTGCAATAATTGAACTGTATTACATTCAAAAACGGAAACAAATATACCATTCGGTTCGCTATAGATGACTGCATCTCCTTATTTCAACTGTTATTTATTTATAATATTTATAATAATATTAATATCAAGAATAATATTAACAATAATAATAATAACCTATAGTTTAAAAGAAAATCTGAATCCGCTACTGATTACTGAGCCACAACTTCGGATATTATTAAATTTTACGTTATTACATTATGCGTTAGAAAAGTTATCACATTTTGCGATGAAAATTTTATTACGTACATTTTGCGGCGTAACAAAACTTATTTAAGAAAAGGTATAGAAATATAGGTTTTAACATTTCTTTGGTCAAGGAATAACATAGTATTTTTTTTCCCGTTACGCCTCCTTTTCATTTTAACTTTGTTAAAGTCATTTTTAACATTGTAAAAAGGTGAGAAGTAAAGCAAAGTAGAACGATGTGGATTGACTGTGGTTTGTTTTTAAAACGCCGAGGTTTTTCCTTTAATTTTGACCAAGTTTAATCGCTGGTTGTTGACTGAAAACGATATACAGTGAATAACTAACTTAATTAAGTTATCATAAAGACGTAAATTGTGTATGTTGTAGGGCTCAACACTAGGTTTATCATGTAGCCTGATGGCTGCTCGCTTCCAAATATATCGACATATATTTATTAAATTCCGCTTATGGCTTGATAGGTTGTAGCGTTAAATTTACCTAGAGATAATTATACACTGTGTACCTATTTGTTAATAAGGTGAAATAAAGTGGACTGAAAGCAAATCCTGCTCTTCAAAATAAAAACAACAAAATAGCAAACTATGCACCTTTTGTTGATGTTCTTAAAAGAGACTTGCTAAGTATCGAAGCATCATTGTCATTCGATTCCTTCAAAATATATCTCCGTTTTTGATTGGCTCAGATCCCACGGGTTATTCTAAATAACCAGCTAGTGTTGAACAAATTTGGAAGATGTTTTCGATATCCGGAATGAAACGTTTATAGAACAAGGTAATCACCAGAAAAAGGTGGGCAAACGAGTAGTCCTAGGGACGAGGTTTTGTTGTCTTGGTGTAGAAACATGTAGAAAATGGTGGAAGAGCTTTGCAAGGAAAAAAAAAAGCTAGCCTCCCACGCAGAAGTTCTTAGGGGTTCGTGACGCGTTCCTGCCCCACGAACGTCTGCTGACTTGAGCGGAAAAAAAACATAGACCAATCACAGCAGACTTCCAGATCTGGGAAGTGCACTTTGGAGCTTGAGAAATTTAACGCTTGACTTAATGGCTCCAGAAAAGATCAGAAAGGTCTTATGAAAGGTGAAGACCTTACAGTTTTAGAACAAACTACTCAGTTAACTCACAAGCGTTTGCACTATTGGCTACCCTCAGAATCTCGTTGAAAAAATTACCTCGGAGGTTAAATTTGCTGATCGGAAGTCGGCTTTACTACAAAAAAATAACGTGTGAAAAAAAAAAATTCTGCCTTTTGTTCAGTCTGACAGTAACCCCGCCGTTGCATCACCCAAAGAACAACTTTATGAGCAAATGACATCTAATCCAGCCTTTACAGAGAGAAATATACAAAAAGCTAACGCTTATCTCCTATGTTCTCGTCAGCAGCAAAAATCTTTTTGTCACGTTTCACACTCTACAGAGCTTGTACGTATCTGTTTGGCTTGTCAACACTGACTTCAACTGCGCCGATTTGATCTCTGATAATCTGCATGTGATCTCCAGCCGATATTTGCGAACAATGGGAGAGAAATTTATCTTTCAGTTCAGTAGACGTTCGTGGGGCAGGAACGCGTGACGAACCCCTAAGAACGTCTGCGTGGGAGGCTAACAAATAGCCGAACTACTGCCTCAAAGTGTAGCAAAAACAGCAAGCATACAACTCGAAGGACAACTGCTACTTGAAGAATAACTGCAGAACTAAACATTCCCCGGCCTTTTTTTTACAAACTGAATCACTGCATGATAATTCAATTCTAAAGCTCTAATTGACTAAGCCATCATGGTAATTTTGCCATTTCACCATGGTCTCCAAACATGGCAACTGTGCGCGTCTGCTAAAAATTAAAGACAATATTTATATTTTGTGGGCGTTTTTGATAAAACAATTATTCCACTCGCGCTAGTTGGATATGAGATGATTATAGCCAATTCGGCGCTACGCGCGTCGTTGACTTACAACCATCTCATATCCAAAGTGCACTCGTGGAATAAAATGTTACCTGAACTTGCTCTGAAACAGGCAAATGAAGAATGGAACTTAACATCGAGGTAAGCATGTTTTAGCTTGTTTTTCAAACTAAGAATTGTTTTAATCAATAATGAAACAATTCTTGGATTCAGCTTTCTTATAATCTAAAGAATTATGCAGATCTAGGAAGCTGTTATCCGCCTCTTCATCCTTATCCAATAACTGCTAATTATTATTTATTCAAAATATTTCTTTATTTCTGATTGGCTAAAATCACACACATAATTCACCATAACCAGCTACTGTTGACCAAATTTGGAAGAATTTTACCATATTGAACCGATGACGTCAAAAGTGCAGCAAAGTTGCAGATTTCGGCACCGTTAACCGAGAAGACCTGGGGACGAATTTGAGTTGTTTTCGAAGTGAGTAATAGCGAGGACAACACTTCAACATTCTCCTCGATCTGCATAATTCTTCACATCCTACGAAAGCCGAATTCAATAATTGCTAACTATTGTCAGACGTTCGATCAATTTGCCCGCTAAGCGAGAAGGTTCCGAGAGTCTTTTTTTACATTTTCGTCTTCACTTCTTTATTATTCTCATTTTACCAGCCTAAAAAGGAAGAGTAATTATTAAGTTCATGTTTACTAAAAGTTGCATAAATTTCATCTGCTCATCTACATTGTAGCCTGTTTTCCAAGCAGGGATCAAATTTATCGCGAAGATGAATGCATACACGTAAGTTTCCTCGAAAAATTACTCATAAAAGAAAAGAAGAAGGCTAAAATAAGTAAGTATGTCCAGAGGAAACAACTAGTTTAATCAAAAGCTGAGTGTCTGTAGTGACTTCTGTGCATGCTTGGGGTGATCAGTATTTATCTATAACTAAGGGATATTTCTCATGTGGTGGGTATTCTGAGGAAAGGCCTGCTTCTAATTCAAAGCTGCGGTCATGTTAACTTATTTATCATTCTCTAAAACGTGTTATTCTTTCAGGTTAATGACTTAGAAGAGTATTTCCGTTCGAGGTTAGCTACTATGAGGATTAATGCTGAATTATTTCTCCATAAAGCGACATTTTCGGATGCACTTTTATGTTGAACTTTTTTCCATGTCCACGCTCTTCGATAATACGATTAGTTAGCCTTAGAGTTAAATATTTCTAAGCCACATTAAACGCTTTAAAAACATTTCATCAGTTTTTCAGCGAACGGAATCATTTAAGAGGATTATTTGAAAAGCACCTGTTAACTGTAGTATGGAAATGAAGGCTGTTTAGACAGTTTATGTCAAAGGTATCTATGACAACTACAGCTTACCTACGGTAGTATTAGATCATTCTAAGGAATAGGTTCTCTTATCTATTAGAGAGCGTTCATTGTGGATAAGGGCTATGAGGATTTTTCAGTTTGGAAAAACATTTTATGGGTGGCCCCAAATCAAACTTATATTTTCCGCTGAACCAATCCCCCTCCCCCTCCCTCCGCCCGCCAAATAATAGACTTTCATTGGATACCATCTTGCACAGCCCTCCCCACCCCCTCTCTACTAAAAAAACCTTCTACACCGGACGGGCCGAATAGGTGATCACTCTGAACCAACACAAAACGTTAACCTATCCGATATAGGACGTTGCACTTTCGAGATCGGCGGCCCGTAGTTTCGCTCCGTTACAGAAATCGCGCCACCACAATTCCCTCAACTGTTGATTTCAGAGACGTTTTGGTGAGTATCGGTATTGGACAAATAATTTTCAAATTGTTTTAATGCTCGCTCTCCAGTCTACATACATAGGGTTTTTAAACGACGATAAGCAGGGACGGTGCATAATTTATTCATTTACGACAAATTTTCTTCTCATTTTTACGTATTTTTTTCATTTGGTTTCGACTCAGTCTTAATTTTTATAAATTATGATGCGTTACTTTCACCGTGGTTCCATACCGTCCTATCTGCAACATAGCGGAGAAACCGGCCGGGATATATTCCTTTCATTAATATAGCCTCTGTGATAACATCTTTACTTTGGAGCAGGCTTCCTCAAAATTAAAATGATAATGGACAGAATGTCAAGACAGCTATAAGACAGTTGCGACGTTTGCCAAATTAACGAGCGAATCTCTTTTTGCTTTCAGTGTGAACGCGTAAGGAGGGCGAGATTTCTTAACAAATAGAAATATATGGATAAGGTTATAATGAAAATTATTACTAATAATACATAGTGCAGAGAGCTGGAACTGAACGAACAGAAGTTCAATGAAGGATGATTTTTAATAAGACTTTGTTTTTAGCAAATTGAAACCAAATGACGGTTGCATAAAATTCACCTGTTCAGTTTAATTCTCTAAAGTTGGGCTAATTTATTGCGAAATAAATGCAAAAAGTTGAGCTCTGACAACAAAGCAGTGTATTAAAAGAAAGGAACATGGATATAGTACCCTGCGAGCAGAAGTTTCTCTCTTACATGACTTTTAGCGTTTACGAAGTCGTTCGCGTGACGAGGCGTAAACAAACCCACTACGCGACAGACAAACCACGCGAGCGACTTCGTAAACGCTAAAAGCCATGCAAGAGAGAAACGTCTGGTCGCATGGTAGTGAGTTAGTGGAAGGGAAGAAAAGTTATATAACTACTTCAGTGCGATGAGTTCTTTACTTTTTTTTTGTTCTATGATAGTCAGAGATATATATCATCATGTGGAGCAAATTAAAATTTTTGTGGTATATGATTTTTTGGCGGATTTCGAGGATTTTGTAAAGATCCATGACATGTTGTTCTTGGAATTCTGTCAATGTACTTTTCCAGCCCCTTCCTAATTAGCCTGCAAGCTAGCTCTCCAGGCAAAAAGGCGGTGGGGCAGAAAATGGAAGAGAAGCTTGCAACTTACGTCCAATTCCCCTGTCTTTCCCCGTCGACTGAGCTGTCAACTTTCCGACAATCAGCACGAAGCGGAAACAAGCGCGAAAGTAAACAAACAATCCAAAACACGTTCCAAGGGTAATGACGTCATTACTAATGTGATCTCCGCCAATGAGCATTTCGCATCGACTTTTTCGATGCAGATATTCAAATTCCAGAGACGTAATTGCAAGCTCTCCTTCCTTTTGCCAGAGTGCCCTGGAGAGCTTGCTCGCAGGCTACTTCTTAAGGACCCCTAGCGCACCAATAACAACTGGTGTCGTCTCTATTTCCATTTTCCACCTTCTAGCTCTAAGTGTTCATATAATACGACCTCCAAGCTTATTCTTGGGCCGCACAGATCACGACAGACGCGAGCTTCAGTTCTGGATTCCATCTTCCCTTGATGTCAACACCCTCTTCTTCTAGCTGCCTCAGAAACTGAACATGAATTTTATTTTCTCTCTATGATTTCACTTCTTCTTCTACCGCTCCCTTTTTATATTACTCTGGTTTTACAGGAGCGTCTAAATCTACCATTATTGTGGTGTGATCCTCTCCAGTTCTTTTTCTGGGGATTCTCAGCCATGTCTCAGCAGCAATCCCGCAGGTTAGAGACATAACAAGACATGGGCAGTATCAAGGGTGGTTAGACTCAACCTCCCCTACTAGGCAGCCTTTGCATTCCCCGAGACAGTTAAAAGTGCACCAATCATGATGGGTATTACTGTCACTCTACTCCTAGGTCTTGTAGTATCGTCAGCGTAGTCTTATCTAAAGGTTCTTATTAAGTTAGAACCTGCAAGCCTTGAAAAGGTTTATGACATGAAGTGTTTCATTTTGTTTTTGGTTTATAACGGATGAACGAATGGCAAAGGGGATACTAGCGCCGCCGTAGCTTTGAACTCCATTTCGACAATTTATATGACAAACGGAAAATATGAACCAACATCCCCTAAGAATTGCCATATCACTTAAGAATCATTCCTAAAATATGGCCAAAGTACGTGTCTTTATCCACAAAATTGTTTTCGCACTGCGGAATACACGAGTCATAGCAAAAATTTGTTTCCACGAAACGCAAACCGGTAAAGCTCGAAATAAACTCGCGCTTAATTTTCACGCCAGAAGGCATTCCTCAGTTGCTTTTAATTTTTCAGTAAAAGAGAACCCGAACTCGCACAAGTAAGACTTGTCAAAGGTAGCTTATATCCGTGCCACCGGTCAAACAGGAAAGCCGGAGTTCAAAATCAGTAATCGAAAGTAGTGATCAATAGACAATTTTCAGCTTTCTATCGTCTATTACAAAGAAAAACGAAAACGAAAAGCTGTTAAAGACAACTGCTGATATTCGTATTGATAAAAGTGTTTGATTTTGATTTCTTAATATCACAAGCCCATCAGGTTTTGCACCCCCTTCCCACTACCACTCACTACCCACCACCCCACCCCCCCTTCCCATCGAACGCACTCCCCCAATTTGCAATTATTACACTAGTTTATTGTTTGCCATAATATTATTTACAAAGCAAGAAATATGTTCTTAAATATTAAAAAATGCAAATGTCGAGTAAGCCCAAGGTAGGCTACTGTGCTTGTAAAAAATAGACTCCCTCAGTTAATTATTCTAACGCGGTAAAAAGAACATTATTTATTTGTTCGCTCAAGTTACTTCATCTTTATTCATGTGAACGTTATTTGGAGTGCTCGGTAAAACGCTCGACAACGCGGTTTGTTGGAAAACCGAAACTGAATCCTTTTATTAATATTGCTTCCAAATCATTTTATTGTTTTATCTTTCTCATATATGTATTTTTTCTCTGAGCAACTACTCCTAGCCGCATTAACATGCTGTTTTGTTTTTATTCTTTAAAGGTAAAATTACTGTAGAAAAGAGGGATACCAACGGTCGCCGTAACACTTCTTGAGGATGCAAGAAAGCTTGAACTTTTCGAATGAGACTTATAGAATTGTTTCTGAAAAAGAAGAAAGAGCCTGGTTTGCAGCTTTCGTCATCGAGTTTATTGTCATCTTTTTACTGAATGCTTTCACTCTTGCCATCTACACAAGAAACCGTCACTTACGCAAGCACAGTACGTACCTGATAATAAATCTGACTGTGGCTGATTTACTGGTGGGAACAGTGAGCGGATCTTCGATGTCATTCGAACTACATAACCTGGAGACGGATCTGTGTCTGGAACAAGATTTTAGCTGGCAATCATTCGTGCAATTCACATTACAGGGGCTTTTTTTAGTTGCTTCTTTAGCTAATATTTCATTGATTTCTTTAGAGAGGTTACACGCAACACTTTTCCCCTTTAGTCATTGTCTTGTTGGAAAAAGGGTTTACCTCACCATCATTTTGTGTAGTTGGCTGTTCTCCTTGATTTTGTCATCCGTGTTTACTCTTCTTTGTTTGCACGCTTCGCCGGCTTTTGCTTATGTAGCTGCATCTTACTGTTTTCTCTGCCTTCTCATTCTCACAGTTTCATATGCTATAATCATCTCGACTGTAAAAAACAATCCTCCCTCCCCTAATACTGGACCAGTTCTTTCAACAGAGAGGAAACTAACGGTGACTTTATTTATAGTTACTGTGGCTTCTTTTCTGGCCATTCTTCCTTTTGTTATTTGGATTGTTATCGCCCATCACATGAGAAGTAAATTATGTCCTGCAGTCTTTGTCCGCATCACTAACTCGTTTTCAGCACTATATCTTTTCAATTCTATAGTAAATCCCCTAATATATGCAGTAAGAATGCAAGAGTTTAGGAAGGCAGCAAGGAGACTTTTTTTTACTAAGACACTAGAATGAACGCGGGCCAAACCCACTGAAGTTCTTACATTAGGTGTGCCACGCTATAACTGTAAAGGACGAAGGTGCGAAATGGGAGATCTCCTTAGAAAAGCTCTAACGTGCTTGCTGAGGCCTTCTTGCCACTAGATAACATTTGTAATCTTAAATGTTAGACAGACATGAGTGGCCAAAAAAAAAGAAGTCAAAAGAAAAGAAAAGAAAACAATTATGATTAAAAAAATAATAAGCATACTGCCGTGATCGACATTGTTGGACAACAAAATATGACACTTAACTTGACCTTTCGTTCAACATTTAACTTCAGGAGGAATTATTTTGGCTGCAACTTTTGCATTTCCATACGCATGTGTGCCTCAATACTCACTGTCTCTTTGATGTTAGTAATAATTTCAAATGTCGAGGAATGTAATTCTCATTTCAGTGTGATGGTTTACCCTAGCTTTTTCAGCCGATGATCACAATCAGCATTTAAGAGGGAATGTGAAGAAAACCACGGCGAATGACAAATTATGTTAAAGACGCAAAATTGTGTCAAAATTAAAAAAGTTAAAATGTCGCATGCCTTAAGTCTCACCCTGTTTTAGTTTTATAAGAATCATGTACCATGCTCCGAGGTAACTCGTTTCCACATTCTTAATTTGCGCCTGATTGGTATGTAGCGTAAACATGGCCAATACTTGGGGAGACTACAATGTAAACTCAATTTAGAAGACCATCTTAGTACATTAAGATAAAATAAAACTGAATGAAAAAGAAAAAATCGTATAACGAAATAAGAACCTATGCAACCTATGTTGATATTCTTAAAATTTCCACTCATTATTCAAAACGGCTTACGCGTTTTGGGTCCTGTGGTCCGAAACGTCACGGAAAAGTATTGAGACCGAGAAGGCCAAGGCAGACGGTACTACAAGGACAGCACTACAATAGGCCACTTTCGATAGATCAGAATTCATCATAAAAATAAGTTCTAGAGGACACAAACAAAAATAAGATAATTAACAGTTAATGAATGAGGCGGAGTATCTTATGAAGAATTATGGAGATCGAGGAGGGTGTTATCCGTCGAGGCCGTAGGCCGAAGCGGATAACACCCTCCGAGATCTGCATAATTCTTCATATGATACGAAAGCCGAATTCAATAACTGTTTTATTATTCATTCAAAATAATTCCTAGTTTAAAAACATAGCTAAAACATGCTTACCTCTATCGATCCATCGATGTTTAGTTCATCTTCGATAGTGTACGTTAGGTTTGTCCAGCTCCGCAAATATTCTCCAAATAGCAGATGTCGCTCTCCGAGTTGTCTTCTTGCTGTTCTTGCCATGTTTTTAGCCTTATTCAATTTTTTGTTTAAAGCGTCCATAGACTTCCCATCATGTTGAATGTTATAATATTTGAAATAGGTTTATTTTGGTAAAGAAAAGTCGAAATATTTATTTAGTTAAACTCGCATGTTGACATTTTCAGAAGCGCAGGGCGTGGAATAAAGTTAGTTATAATAATAAACAGCAATAAGATAAAAGCAAGCATGAAATAGTTCTAAGAAAGAAACGAATAGCAACTCAACTCTGGGCAAAGTTGGTTTCTAATTAAGAAATCTGAAGGTTTTGCGTCTTAGTCAACTTGCCATTGCTTACTTATTATGGTTAAACCGCCGCTTTGAAAGCTTTTCTTAAAATTGACTTCATCTGTTGTTTGGCTCCCAAAGGGATATTACTGCATGTGTAATAACCTCTCTCAAATAAGCAGGTGTTGCATTTATTAGGCTATGATGGACACTACCAAGCTTCTTCTAATATATACCTGAAGTATTAAACTTCATGGTTATTAATAAGACAGAAAATTTCACCTGTTTATCTTGTACTAAGTTCCTTTAAGAAGTTACGCACAATTCTAAATCCTGGCGATAATCAGTCAAAAACAGAGAAAAGGAGACAAGGAAATTAAACATTTTTACTACAGCAGACTGTAAAAGAGTTCACTTTTCGACCGTAAGTGATGAAACGTCGTTTTTCTACTGATTCTATTGTTACTTGTATAATCACTCGTCATATATTGTCGATTGATCCTGTTGAAAGGTTTCCTAGAAATAGAACAATACTCATTTTATGAGATCAGAAAACGAAACGTATTTTAGTTGAAACTTTGTCTTTTTATCATTAACAGTAAGAAATTATTTGGCCAAGTTACTCATGCTAGTTGTTCTTGGAATTCTATCAACGTGGTTTTCCCGTCCCTTCCCATTTAGCCTGCGAGAAAGCTCTCCGCGTCACTCTGGGGGCGGGGTTTGGGGTGGGGGCGGGTGGTGGGGGAAGGAAAGGAGGAAGAGCTTGCAACTACGTCTCTGGAAGTAATTTTGAATTTTACGTCCAATTCCCCTGTGGTTCCCCATCAACTGAGCTTTCAAATTTCCGTCAATTACCACGAAACGGAAAAAAACGCGAATGTAAACAAACATTGAAAAACAGGTGCCAAGGGTAATGACGTCATTACTGATTTCATCTCTGCCAATCTGCATTTCGCATCGACTTTCAATTTTCGATGCAGATATTCAAATTCCAGAGACTTAATTTCAAGCACTCCTTCCTTTCGCCGCCCCTTCTCCAGAGCGCCCAGGAGAGCTTTCTCGGAGGCTACTTCTCAATGACTCCAAGCGCCCCAATAACAAATGGTATCGTCTCTGTTTCTATTTCCACATTCTAGCTCTAAGTGTTCAAATAATTCGACCTCCAAGCTCAGTAAGCCTTCTCAAAGGTAGCTTATATCCGTGCCACCGGTCAAACAGGAATTGGCGGGAATTCAAAATCAGTAATCGAAAGTAGTGATCAATAGACAAATTTTAGCTTTCTATCGTCTATTAGGAAAAAAAATGAAACCGAAACGCTTAATTTATTGTTTGCCATAATATTTACAAAGCAAGAAATAAGTTGTTAAATATTAAAAAAACTAATGTCGAGTCAACCCAGGGTAGGCCACGTGAGCTTATAAAGAATAAGGCTCCCTCATTATTCTAACGAAGTAAAGGGAACATTATTTTTTGGCTCAGGTTACAGGTGACGTTTGTTTTAATACCTAATTCCCATTTTGCGATACATCAATGCAAGATTAACTTCTTTATTCGCGTGGACATAATTTGGAGTGCTCGGTAGAACACTCGTCAAGGCCGTTAATTGGAAAACTGAGACAGAATCCTTTTGTTGTTTCCAAATAATTTAATTGTTTTCTCTTTCTCATATGTTTTCTCAGCAAGACTGCTCCTCACATTAACATGCTGTTTGTTTGTAATCTATCAAGGAAAACTTCCTATAAAAAGAAGGATAACAACCGTCACTGTAACACTGAGTGAGAATGAAAGAATGCTTGATCGTTTGGAAAGAAACTGGAGTAATTTTTCTGAAAAAGAACAAAGAGCCTGGGTTGCAGCTTTTGTCATCGAGTTTATTGTCATCTTTTTACTAAATGCTTTCACTCTCGCCATCTACACAAGAAACCGTCACTTACGCAAGCGCAGTACGTATCTGATATAATAAATCTGACTGTGGTTGATTTACTGGTGGGAACAGTGGCCGGACCTTCGATAATATTCGAACCAGATAACCTGGAGACGGATCTGGGTCTTGAACAAGATTTTAGTTGGCAATCATTCGTTTATCTCACATTACAGGGGCTTTTTTTAGTTGCTTCATTAGTTAATATTTCATTGATTTCTTTAGAGAGGTTAAACGCAACTCTTTTCCCCTTTAGGCATTGTCTTGTTGGAAAAAGGGTTTACCTAATCATTATTTTGTGTAGTTGGTTGTTTTCCTTGGTTTTGTTATCTGTTATTGTCCTTCTTGATTTGCGCCTATCGCCTGCACATCTGTATGCCATTTTGTCGTACTCTTTTTTCTCCCTTCTCATTCTCACAGTTTCATATGCTATAATCATCTCAACTGTCAAAAAAAATCCTCTTCTGCCTAATGCTGGACAAGTTCTTTCAACAGAAAGGAAACTAACGGTGACTTTATTTATAGTTACTGTGGCTTTTTTTCTGACCATTCTTCCTTGGATCATTTGGACGGGCTATTCTAAATAACCAGCTAGTGTTGAACAAATTTGGAAGATGTTTTGGATATCCGGAATAAAACGTTAATAGAACAGGGTAATCACCAGAAAAAGTATGGCAACCGAGAAGTCCTGGGGACGAGGTTTCGTTGTTTTGGTAAAGCAGTAGAACCATGTAGAAAATGGTGGAACAGCTTTGCGAAGAAGAAGTAGCCGAACTACTGCCTCAAAGCATAGCAAGAACAGCAAGCATACAACTCGAAGGACAACTGCTACTTGAAGGATATCTGCAGAACTAGACTTCCCTTCTTATTAAAAACTGAATTATTGGATAATGCAATTCTAGTGCTCTGATTGGCTTAGCCATCATGGTAATTTTGCCATTAAAATATGCTCTCCAAATTTTGTAACTGTACGCGTCTGCTCAAAATTAAAAACAATATTTATATATATTTTTTTAAATAAAACAATTATTCCACTCGCACTAGTTGGATATGAGATGATTATAGCCAATTCGGCGCTACTCGCCTCGTTGAATTACTAACTTGAGTAATTGTTAAATATCCTGAATTTGCTCTGAAACAGGCAAATGAAGAATGGAACTTAACATCGAGGTAAGAATGTTTTAGCTTGTTTCTAACCTAGGAATTATTTTAAATCAATAAAAAAACAATTCTGAATTCAGCTTTCTTATAATCTGAAGAATTATGCAGATCTAGGAAGGTGTTATCCGCATCTTCTGAAAATACCTTATTTTACATAGTTAGCTTCTCGATCTCCATAAATCTTCATATAATACTCATCCTTATCCAATAATGGCTAAATTAACGGTTCCGAGAGTCCTCTTTTACATTTTCGTCTTCACTTCTTTATTATTCTCATTTTACCAGCCTAAAAAGGAAGAGTAATTATTGAGTTCATGTTTACTGAAAGTTGCATAAATTTCAGCTGCTCATCTAACCCGTTTTTCAAGCAGGGATCAAATTTATCGCGAAGATGAATGCATACACGTGAGTTTCATCGAAAAATTACTCATAAAAGAAAAGAAGAAGGCTAAAGGGAGTAACTATGTCTAGAGGAAACAACTAGTTTAATCAAAAGATGAGTGTCTGCAGTGACTTCTGTGCTAGCCTGCGTAGCAGGCGCTTGGAAGTAATGGGCCCAAGAGGGAACGGGGCGCGCGCCTTTTACTTCTAAGCAACTGTTACGCAGGCTACTTCTGGGCAAGTTTGGGATGATCATTCGTGTTCTTCTATAACTAAGGGATATTCCAAAGAAGGACCGGCGCCTGCCCCTAATTCACAACTGCGATGCAGTCATGTTAGCTCATTTATCATTGTCTAAAAGAGATATGCAAATACATGGTCGATTATACGTGTTATTCTCTAAAGATAATAAGTTACAAGAACATTTCCGTTCGAGCTCATCTACTATAACTGATTAACGCAGAATATTTCTCCATAAAGCGACACATTTTCATGCACTTTTACGTTGAACTTTTTTCTATGTCGACGATATTTGATAATACGATTAGTTAGCCTTAGAGTTGAAAATTTCTAAGTAGAATTAAACGTTTTAAAAACGTTTTATCCGTTTTTAGCAAGCGGAATCAAAAAGAGGATTTTCGGTGAGGGTACTTGTAAAACACCTGTTATCTGCAGTATGGAAATGAAGGCTGTTTAGACAGTATATGTTAAAGGTATCTATGAGAGCCACAGGTTGCCTATACGGTTGTATTATCATAAATAATTCTAAGGAATAGGTTCTCCTATCTGTTTGAGGGCTTTCATTGTGGGTAAGGGCTATGAGGATTTTTCCGTTGGAAATTAAAACATTTCACGGGTGGCCCCTAATCGAACCTATATTTTACAGTGACCCAGCCCCCCCCCCTCCCCCTTCCTCCAAAAAAAATAGACTTTTTTTCAACTTTCACACGGCACCAAAGTATGGCAAAAAAACTATCCAATATTCGAGATCGGCGTGGCTCAGCTTCGCTCCTGCAAAGAAATCGCGCCGCCGCAATCGTTCAACTGTTGATTTCAGAGAAGATTTGGTGCAGGGTATCGGTATTAGACAAATAATTTTGTCATAATGCTCACCGGTCCAGTCTACATACAGAGGGTTTTAAAATGAGGAAAAGCAGGCTTAATATAAGATGGGCGGTACATAATTTATTAATTTACGACAACTTTGCTTTTCATTTTTGTACTTTTTTTCCTTTTGGTTTCGAATGAGTCTTAATTCTTATAAAGTTATGATGGCCGCCGCGTTACTTTCACTATGGTTCTGTACCGTCCTATCTGCAACATAGCCGAGAAACCGGGATCTATTTTATTTTCACTAATAGCACTGTGATAACATCTTAACTTGGGTGCACGTTTCATCAAAAATGATAATGGACAAATGTCAAGACACCAATAAAACTGCTGTGACGTTTGCCAAATTAACGAAGGAACCTCTTTTTGCTTTTTAGCGTGAACGTGTAAGGAGAGCGAGATTGCTTAACAAATAGTAATATATTGATAAACGTATACGTAAGGAAGATTATTAGTAAAAACGCAGAGTTCAGAGAGCTGGAATTAAACTGAAGAGACAACAGCTCAGTAAAGGATGAAATGATATATTAAACTTTGTTTTCGAGAAATTGAAACCAAATGATTTTGCATATAATTCACCAGCTCATTTTAATTCTCTAAATTTGGGCTAATTTATTGTGAAATAAATGCAAAAAGTTGAACTCTGACAAACAAAGCAGTGTATTAAAAGAATATAGGACATGGATATAATCGGTGAGTTTTAAGTCCAAGGGCCCAAAAGAAGTTATGAGTTCTTTACGTGCTTTCTTTTTGTTCTACGATAGTCAGAGATACTGTCAATCAATCAACTTTATTTAAACACAGTAAATGGCTCAGCAAGCTGGTTTTCAGACATGCCGTGTGATAATTACAATTTATAAAAATTAAGACTAGTGATTAACTAACAATACAATATAACAACAAGAAATAAGTATTAGAAATAAGATGAAAACATGATAAAAGTTATATCCTAAGATATGGCGAGTTTAAAGCTAGTAAGATCCCCCACCTCACGTGTTTCATTTGACAGTTGGTTCCAAGCCATTGCACCCCGATAAGAAAATGAGCGCTTGAGAAAATTTGTTTTAGGTAGTGGTAGTTGGAGATCATAGTTAGAACCCCTCAAATTATAGTCATGAATTTCAGAGGTTCTATGAAACTGTACTGTACATATGATGTGAAGTAAAACTTTAAAGGGATATGATTTTTGGCGGATTTCGAGGATTTTCTAAACGGATGCATGACATGAAGGCCAAAAATATCAAAATGAGGCGTTATGCTTAGATATTTTCTCGTTAACTACGAGTACGAATTTTAAGTTTCAGTCCTGTTATATTCTCAGAACTAACTCAAAAATGATAGGCAGGATGGCACAGGTGGTGTACTACCTAAAAAGTGATTATCAAAAGCACAAGGGCTGCGTTTGAAAAGTCATGCTCGTACTTGTAGTATCATGAGCGTAGTCTTATCAAAAGGTTCGTATTAAGTAACTTAGGCCCGTTTGCTACCGCCGTGCCGAACTCAATTGATCCAATTAAATTCGACTTTAGCACGGCAGTAGCGCGATGTTTGACACCAAGTCGTGTTACTGCCGTGTAGCACAGCAAGCCTTGCCTTGCTACACAGTAGTAGCTCGAGTTGGTTTCAAACGTCGTGCTACCGCCGTGCCGAACTCAATTCATGAATCATAAATACATTAGAACACATTTAAAGGCTTGCCAAACCGTTTATTTACTTTTCCGTTTTGTTTTCGGCAACAGCCGTTCTATTCGACTGAATTAAATCGACGTCTGAAACCAAGTAGTGCTATTGTCGTGCTGCAGTCGAGCTACAGTCGAGCCAGCTTAGCACAGCAGTAGCACGACGTTTGAAACAGGCCTTAAAAGCGTGCAAGCGTCGAAACGTTTCTAGCACGAAGAGTTTCACCACGTTTTTGGTTGAATATATGAACAAATGGCAGGGGGGGATAGCGCCGTCGTAGCTTTGAACTCCATTTCGACGACTTTATGACAAACGGAAAATATGAATTAAAATAACATCCTCTACGAATTGCCAGATCAGTCGTACCTAAAATATGGCCTAGGCTCGTGTCTTATCCACAATTGTGGAATCCACGATTTTGCAAAAATTTGTACCCGCAAATCGCAGACAGGTAGTGTGAGCAATAAACTCGCGCCTAAATTTCAAGCCACAAGGCACCCTCAATTGCTTTTACAGTATAAGTGACCCTAAACTCGCACAAATAGACAGACCGATAGACAAATTTTAGCTATCGATCGTCTATATTTACGAACAGAAATATAAAAGAAAAGCTTAGTTTTGTCATTATTTTGCTCAAATTTCGGAACATCGTTTTTCTATTTGACCTGATGTATTACTTGTCATAGATATGGAAGGGTAAATGCCTCCTTCCCATTTAGCGATACATCAATGCAAGATTAACTTTTTATTTATGAATATTTTGCTTTGGATGAAAATATAGCAGTTTTCTTGCTTTGCTAGGAGTACTCGGTAGGACATCTGTTAACAACGTTTATGGGCCAATTGAGACGTCATCCTTTTATAGTTTTCGAATCTTTTTATTTCATTCTTTCTTCTTGTTTTCTCTCTGTGTGACTGCTTCTCGCATTAACATGCTGTTTTGTTTGCAAATTTCCTTTAGAAATGAGGGATACCAGCGGGCACCGTAACACTTGGTGAGGATGAAAGAATGCTGGAATGCTTGTGAGACAGGTAGAATTATTTCTGAAAAAGAAGAAAGAGCCTGGTTTGCACCATTTATCATCGAGTGTATTGTCATCTTTTTGCTGAACGCCTTTACACTCGCCATCTACACAAGAAACCGTCACTTACGCAAGCCCAGTACGTACCTTATTATAAATCTGACTGTGGCTGATTTACTGGTGGGAACAGTGGGAACAGTGCTTGTACGTTTATCATTTTTCGTACCAGATAAACTGGAGAGGGACCTGGAACTTAAACAGGCTTTTAGCTGGCAATCATTCGTGTATTTGACATTATCTGATTTCGTTAGAGAGGTTACACGCAACACTTTTCCCCTTTAGGCATTGTCTTATTGGAAAGCGGGTTTACCTCACCACTATTTGTTGTAGTTGGTTGTTCTCCTTGACTTTGTCATGTGTGTTTTCTCTTCTTGATTTGCGCGCATCACCTCCATTTCCCTATGTATTTTCATCTTACATTTTTCTCTCCCTTCTCATTCTCACAGTTTCATATGTCATAATTATCTCAACTGTCAAAAACAATCCCCCTTCCCCTAATGCTGGACTAGCGCTTTCAAAAGAAAGGAAACTAACGGTGACCTTATTTACAGTTAACGTGGTCTCTGTTCTAACCATTCTTCCTTTTGTTATTTGGATTGTTATCGCCCATCACATACAGAGTAAACTATGTCATGCAGTCTTTATCCGCATCGAATTCTCGTTTGACTTACTCTATTTATTCAATTCTATAATCAATCCCCTAATATATGCAATAAGAATGCAAGAGTTTAGGAAAGCAGCCACAAAACTTTTTTGTACTAAGACACTAGAACTAGCGCCAGTCCAACCTCTTACATTGCATGTACGTACTCAAGCAATACCTGTTGAAGAAAGAACATCAGAAATGGGAGATTTCCTTAGAAAAGCTGTAACAGGATTGCAGAGGTCTTCTTGCCTAGGAATCGTTTGTAAGTTAATCAATGTAAGAAGGATATGAGTGGCGAAATAATAAAAAAAATGAAGTAAAATAAAGTAATAATTAAGAAATAGCACGCAAACTGCGGTCATAAACATTGTTGGAAAACAAAATATATATCTGCAGGAGGAATCCCGTGGTCTACGGACACCTGCTTAAAAGTTTAGCAAAGAAGCTAGGAAACTTGTTTTTACAAACTAAGACACTGCAATTAACGCGTGTCCAACTCTTGGAACTTCTTACATTGCATGTACGTACTCAAGTAATACCTGTTGATGAAAGAACATAAGAAATGGAGAGTTCCTTAGAAAAGCTGTAACAAGATTGCAGAGGTCTTCTTGCTTAGATATCGTTTGTAATCTTTATTAATCAGTGTAACAAAGATATGAATGGCGAAATAATAAAAAATGAAATAAAATAATGTAATAATTAAGAAAAAGCACGCAAACTGCGGTGGTAAACATTGTTAGAGTAACATCAGAAGCATATAACCCGGAAGCGTATAACTTTGTCGCAATGCTGGGGTTTTTAGGGAACCAATCAGAATTTACTTACTAATATGGAATTACTGATAAGCGAGATTGTCGCACGAAACTTGTATCGGCGATGTATAAAATGATGCAGTGCAAAAAGCAGTTACTGTTTTACGAGGTAATATTTGTATAGGTAATCACATGATTTCGAGTGCAATTTGGAATAAATAAGCACGAGTAAATTTTTCAAAGACCAACAAAAGTGCACGAGCCCGTAGGGCGAGTGCACTTTGTGGTCTTTGAAAAATTTACAAGTGCTTATTTATTCCAAATTGCAGGAGAAAAATCATGTGATTACTTATTAATAATATACATTAAAAACATAACTACAACAACAAATTTTGACAGCGCGCGCGTTTTTAGTTCATTCAACTGATTGGCTGAAACAGACTACTACCTTTGTCAATTTCAAACTTTTTCAAGACCAACGCTTTCAAAATCATTCAGCTAAGAACTTGGAAATGTGCAAAGATTTTTTTATATGGTCACCAGCCTGTTAAAGATAACTTGGTTTACAACAATCAGCAAAGTGTTTTTAAATTCATCCTCGATTATGAGAGCTCGGCGTTTACAAGAAGTGTTTTCAAGAAGTATACTACCGTTTTGAAATCAGGAGAACACTTCGAGCAGCCGAAGATGAAAGACACTTGCTAAGGTTTTTTAGCGACTGTTTATCATTGTCTGTTCCTGAGACCCCATCATAGCTGGATTCATGGACAAATTTTTAAGACTTAAAACCCGAAAATGAAGGAGGCAATTTGTTTTCTTTCGACGCTGCCATCGATGGGTGAGTGGAGCCACATTTGTTGTGATGTCGGAAACTGCCAGTATTAATATAATATTTGCTTTTTCTCAGCGCTGGAGTTTTTTATTATTTTATTTGGCCTACTGCAAGAGTCATCGTAGCTCTTCTTCGTCGGCTTCATCGTAGTCGTTAAGGAAATTTATACCTCTGTGGCCTGTGACACTGACGATATGTTCTGAACTTACAATCTTTGCTTTCTTCAGCTTCCTGACTGTTGTTTTTCTTGCACAATGCTTCGTAAACTTTCTTCTCGCTTTCTTTAAGGCTAGTACCAGCTACGGATACTTTCATTATGTCAGTTATGGTATTTTCGCTTATTTGGTTTAGTTTGGACCAGATGTTTAAATTTTCGGTTTCTTTTGCTACTGAGGTAGAAAAAAAAAAACAGACCATCGCATGGATGTTTTAATAGAGGTCTTCGCTCCACAAAAGACTCAAAGAGAGCAACAAATAACGTACATGACTTGAAATCCCTGTTGTTATCATGGAATTGTATCCTTGTTCATTTAAATGCCTGAAGAGTGTAGCTGTCATGGTTTGCGTGTGGTTGCAACCGTGTTTGTTCTTTACTTTTTTACTTTAGCGTAGTCTGTTATAAGTAGCTTGTTTTTTAGTTTCTCTGGCTCATTTTCCACGGTTTTGTTGACAGTATTTTTCTCTTAGCAACGCATTTTCAATACGTTTAGCCAGAAAGACGTACTTTTTACTGTGTTGGGGTTTTTGGAATATTTTTTAAACTTTTCTATTGTTGTTTTGCTTACAAAATTAAATCCCGTCGTCGTCTGCTGAAAACCATGGCCATTTTCTTGAATTTTTGTTGTTAAAACAGCTCTAATCTGATTGGTTCTCATTGCTTTCTTTTGTGTTTTCAGCCAATCAGAAAGCATTTGTAATTTGCACTCGTGTTACAAGTTTGCACTCGTGTTACACATTTTGCACTCGTGTTACAGAAGAGCTGCACTCCTTTCACAGCCAATCAGAATTGAGTAATTTTTTCGTGTATATTATTAGACGAAAAATTAAACGGAATACAGTTTTAATCCACAAATAACCAGGAATGTGTTAGTTCCTCCTAACAAGACAAAGTCGACTACAAATGACAAGCACCGTAAGAGAAGCGATTTCTTAAAGTTGTTACTTCAAAAACGGTTTTTGCGTGACCTTTTAATAGCGTAATAACCTTTAAAAAATCATTTACTATCTATCAAGAATAACTAGTAACACATATTTTCAAGCAAAATTCGGTAGTTGCTGAACTCAAAAGTAAAAATTGCATAAAATTCGTTGACATCTTCGTAGAAGTGATGCGTGTAATAAGACTTAGATGCTGTCTCACGACCATGTTATCAACTAATGTTATGAATGAACAAACAGAAAACAATAAAGGGACAAATTGTTTCTTGAAAAATTTTTTCGACAACCCATAAGTTTACCGTTAAAAGCAATTCACGTAACACTGACTGGATCGTGGATCTGTTCCCACAAGTAAAATCGGCGTGAGCACATTGCAAAAATTAATGTCAGATCGGGATTATTTCCCAATTTATCTTGGAAGCTCTATAAGAAATATATAACACGTCCATAAAACATTTATAAATTTCCTTTCAATAACGTACTTTCCTTGAGCATCATAATTTGTGAAATGTAAGTTAACCTGAAAATTCTTTAAAAAGGTTGGCATGCTGACTTGGTCGCCGTTCAGAAAGGGACAAGCGCTCCGCCGTGAAAGAAACGAGGTCGAAATCCTCGAAGGTGAATTTCGCTGCTTAAAACTTTTCTTTGTCCTCGAATGAAAACAAACTTTCACATGTCACACGTCTAATCAAAACTGTCATATATGTGTTCGCGTACTGTTCTGGAGGAATTAAAAAATCTACACTCAAAAAGGATTCTGTTCCAACTTCGTCGGCGCCTTGTACAACGCTTCTGCAAAGCTTGCCATATCATTTTGTTTGCAGTCGCCATGCTGGTTTTGCTGAATGAGAACAGAAGTTGCAGATAACTGGATTGTCGTGGTAGATAGGATTGTAGCTAGTAGCCTTAGGATGACCTTTGTCGGTCAAACAGGCTGCTGATGCATTTTGCTGATTTCGGCCAGAGGCTTTGCGATATCGTGAAGAAATGTAAACATCCTTGTCTTTCTTTGTCACTGGTCGATGTTTTCAAGCCATACCGCTTATAACTTGTGCCTCTTTATGTTTTCCCAGGGTTGCATTTTATAGCAGCATGATTACTTTAATTATCTCTCATGCCACGAAACGATTTCTTTCGGCCGTAGAAATACATGTTCAGCGTTGCAAGCTCGAAGTTTTTAGCCTTGAATTCTCTGATGCCATATTTGTGCAAAGTAATTTTCTGTGCGTCTGATTGGACGGCTGCGTCGGCTAAATAAACCCCAGCATGGTTCTTAACACATATGGGGAAGTTAGACGCTTCGGGGTTATATGCTTCTGGTAACATACAACTTCAGGAAGAATTGTATTGGCTTCAACGTTCGCATTTCCGTACGCATGTGCATCTAAATATATGATTCCTTGCCATTCCAATCATCACTGTCTCTTTGATGTACAGTGGAACCCCGCTCTACGGACACCCGTCTACAAAGGACAGCTTAGCTAGTCCCCAGCGAAAAAAAAGCTCAACAACATATATTTTCTATGAAATTACCGTGATTTTAAAAATACGGACATCTGCTTAATTTGGACACTAAACATGTCCCGTGGGTGTCTGTATTGACCGGTTCCATTGTAATTATTTCAAATGTAAAAAAAATAATCTTTATTTCAGTGCGATGGTTTAGCCTTTTTCAGCCGATGATCTCTTCATTTAAGAAGAATTGCCACGTCATCTAGCTAAGAATCGTCCTTTAAATATTGCCAAGGTACATGTCTTATCCACAAAAGTTGTTCCCAGCATTGCGGAATCCACGAGATTGCAAAAATTTGATCTCGCGAAAAGCAAACAGATAATACGCGAAATAAACTCCCGCTTATTGTCCACATCCCAAGGCATTCCTCACTTGCTTTTAATTTTCCAGTAAAAGTGAACCCGAACTCTAGCCTCTCACAGGTTGCTAATATCCGTGCCACAGGTCAAACAGGAAAGCCGGAATTCAAAATCAACAGTCGAAAGCATTGATCAATAGACGAATTTTAGCTTTCTACCTTCTATTACGAAGAAAAAAGAAAACGAAACGCTTAATGTAATGTTTATTTCTTGCCATAATGTTTACAAAGCAAGAAATAAGTTCCTAAAAATATTAATAACAGCCAATGGCGAGTAAGCCCAAGGTAAACCACTGGGCTAATAAGGAATAAGCTCCCTTAATTTAATAATTTTAATGAAGTAAAAAGAACATTATTTTTCCCCCAAGTTACAAGTTTTTTTTTTATCATTGTTATTTTACCTGATTTATCACTTACCATAAATAAGAGTAAATGCCTCATACCCATTTTGCAATACATCAGTGCAAAATTACAGTCACTTACCGTGGTGTCATTTTTTGGAGTGCTCGGTAGGACACTCGTCAACGCACTTTATTGGAAAACCGAGAAGGAATCCTTTTATTGTTCTCTTGTTTTATTTTTTTCTTTGCGTTACTACTCCTCACATTAACATGCTGTTTTTTTTGTATTCTTTTAACACTTGGTGAGGATGAAATAATGCTGGAACGTTTGGAGTGAGTGGTAGAATTATTTCTGAAAAAGAAGAAAGAGCCTGGTTTGCAGCATTGGTCATCGAGTGTATTGTCATCTTTTACTGGTGGGAACAATTGGTGGGAACAGCGACCGGACTTTTACTAATATTTGAACCAGATAACCTGGAGAGGGACCTGGAACTTTCAACAGCTTTCAGCTGCGAATCATTCGTGTATTTGACAGTGACGGAGCTACTTCCAGTGGCTTCATTAGCTAATATTTCATTGATTTCGTCAGAGAGGTTACACGTAACACTTTTCCCCTTTAGACATTGTCTTGCTGGAAAGCGGGACTACCTCATCATTGTTTTTTGTAGTTGGTTGTTCTCCTTGACTTTGTCATCTGCTATTGCTCTTCTTTATTTGCGCTTATCACTTGCAAATCCGTATGTCAATGCATCTGACACACTTTTCTCACCCTTGTCGTTCTCACAGTTTCGTATGTCATAATTATCTCAACTGTAAAAAGCAATCCTCCCTCTAATGCAAAACCAGTTCTTTCAACAGAGAGGAAACTAACGGTGACTTTATTTATAGTTATCGTGGTCCCTTTTCTAACCCTTGTTCCTCGCACTATTTGGCATATTATCCCACCCCATATGTCAAGTAAAGTCTGCCCTGAATCGCATCGATTACTCGTTTTTTGCACTATATTTGTTCAATTATATATAGTCAATCCCGTAATATATGCAGTAAGAATGCAAAAGTTTAGGGAAGCAGCCAGGAAACTTGTTTCTACAAAGACACTAGAACTTAACGCGAGTCCAACCCATATAACCTCTTACATTACCGTACGTGCTCACGCAATACCTGTTGAAGAAAAAACATAGGAAATGAGAGATATCCTAGTAGAAAAGCTCTAACAAGCTTGCTGAGGTCTTGTTGCCACTAGATATCTTTTGTAATCCTTGATCAATGTAACAAAGATATGAGTGACGAAACCCAGGGGGAGGGGAGGGAGGCAGGGCTAGCCTACAGACGTTCTCCCTCCCTCAGAAAAAATCGGGAGAAGAGACGTCTGTGAATCGCCGACCATAATCGTGTTCCTGTTTCCCCGGAATGTTGGAGACAGCCTCTGATTGGTCGTAATGTTAATGCCATGACGCAAATAATTTACGGTGTTGCTATTGGTGAAAGAATCTCAGAATAGATTCCCCGGGGAAAAACTCAGCCTTTGTGGACAGCTTACCACATTTGTATTTGTTTACTTGGATTTCGGCTCTCTGGAATAGGCATGTGAAATTAAGACCACCGATGTTTGCTGCACCGGTTGCGGGTGGACGTACAGAAATCAACGCTTAATCAGAGATCTTATATCTGGATTTTAGCGTGGAAATTGCGTGAAGATGTTCGGCTAGCCTGTGTACAGACGCCAGGGCTATTTTTTGGCCTACATGTGCTGGTCATGGCTCATAGAATTAGGCAAAAGTAAGGCTATTGTAGTTTCTTGCTGAAGAGAAGTGAACGATCCTTTATACGAAACGTACTCAAAATCATCGAATGGATCAACTCCTGCATAAAACGCTTGACTGGAAATGTACTAACAGTGCTTCCGAGATCAAATTCTGTCAAACCAAAAACCACAGGAAATCGATGTACAGTAACGGACAGACTTTATGATCTAAGAAATATTAAAAAAAATACTTGAAACGCATGAAATACTCGTTTTAAATGGCATTTTAGCTAGATATTCTAGTCAGAACCTAGCTTCGCAATAAATGTTGAGAACATCCGAGAGAATAACTGCGTACGTGCTCTAGTCGTGTTGGTCTGTCAACACCTTTTCAACTGTCAGATGAAACAAAACAAAAAATAATTTATGCAAATGTTACCGGAACACGATTAACGCCGGCGATTCACAGACGTACGTGTCTCTTCTCCCGATTTTTTCTGAGAGAGGGGGGACGTCTGTACACAGGCTAGGCAGGGCATGAGATGGGGATTTAATTGTCTTTGTTAATCAACAAAAGAAGGGAAAAAAAACAAGGAAATTACACGTTTTGACTACAAAGATTCAAAGAGCTCACTTTTCGACAGTAAGCCTTAATTCTGTTGTTATGTTTAAAATTACTTGTCAGATATTGTCTTTTGTTGATCCCAAGGGGTGGACTCCCATATGAAAAAGACGGGGATGCTCGGCTTCTCGCTTAGGGGTGTAAAT